ATAGATGAAGTCTCTAACCCTAATGCCCAAACATTTTATGATTTATTGAATGCATCTAATAGAGAGATCTAGTTTGGTTTAGAAAACCACTCACGGTTATCCGCAATGACCCATTTGTTGTATTTCAATTATGAGCATCATTTTTCAAAGAGGTGTTAGGATGACTTATATTAATTTATGAAAGAGTTAATGCCTATCAATAACTAAATGTTAGAAAACTTTTACGAGTATAAAAATGTTAGTGAAAATGACGGGTTTACTAGTTCAATAGATGTTCAATTGTATAAATGGATGGATGATTTATTGGGATAAAAACAACGAGAGAATCATTTGTAAATTCCGTGACCATCTTCGATATCGAAGTTCTAGGCGAGGATCGATTAGAGAAACATATGTCTTATATATAAAAAAATATATTATTTTCCTCTAACTCTATGGTTACGGATGATGTATGCGTCGACCGCCACAGCTGGTGATATGACATGACATGCCGAATATGAAGTTGAGCGGATGTCATGCATCATTATTTTGACTCCTTTGCATGGTGACATTTCAATCAAACACATCCTTCATTTGCATCAAAAATTAGAAATGTCCGATTGAGAGTCTCTACCTGATGGGTTTCGACCTTTTGATCAATTTAGACAACAATATTCTTTGTGGCCTTTCATTGTAACACCTTATAATTTGCCACCGTAGAAGTATATGAAGGAATAATATATGTTCTTAACTCGTAATTCAGGATCTAAAAACTTAAAGATTAACCTAGACGTGTACTTACAGTCATTAATTAAAGATTTAGTTGAATTATCAAAAGTTGGTGTGCTTACCTATGATATGTCCTGTAAGTATAATTTTTAAATGCCAACCTCAGTCATGTAGACAATCAACGACTTCCCTACATATTCAAAGTTATCGAGTTAGAGTATTATGGGTAAACTAACACGTCCTTATTACATGAAAAAATCGAATGCTTTCAATCTTTATAACGGCAAAAAGACTTCTTTGTTTGACTATCACCGTACAAAATCTTTTTAGAAGAAACGAGGAATGCGTTCAAGCAAAATTCAATTGTGACAAACATTGCTCCCCGATCATGTTTGGAATAAAATTTTTGTATGAAATACAAAATTAGGAGTTATTGAAAGTCACGAAAGGGGGTTTGGAAGAGTGTAACAAAAAAAGATCCGGAGTTTATGGTTGAAAGAAATGTAGTATATTCTAGAATCTACCTTATTGGAGTTCTAAATTAATTCAACACAATTTAGATGTGATGCAAATTGAAAAAAATATATTTTTGACAATGTGTTCAATAGAATTATGAGTAGGGAAAAATAAAAGGCAATGAAAACTCTAGAGTAGACTTGAAACTTTATCATTAGTGACCAAAATTAAAAATAGATGAAAATTCTAGAAAATACCCTAAAGCATGTTACTCTCTAGACAAACAATAAAAAATACAATTATTTAAATGGATTAAACAACTCGAGGTTTTTTAGGGATATACATCAAACTTGGCTAGGTACTGTCGATATGAACAACCTCATATTATATGACATGAAAAGTCATGATTGTCATATGTATATATATGCAAAGGTTAATACATGTTACATTCCATGACCTATTACCAAAAAAATGTTTAGCAAGCACTAACCGAGTTGAGCTTATTCTTTAAAGAATTGATATCTACTATCATTAAGATTAAAGATATGATCCATCTTAAGACGAGAGATACTTTTAATTTTATGTAAACTTGAGCACATATTTCCATCAAGTTTTTTCGACTCAATAAAACATCTTCCAATACACTTAGTGTATGAAGCAAAAACAACGAGGATTAGTACAATATCAATAGATGTATCCATTTGAAAGGTAAATATATTGATTTTAAACCTTTTATTAATTTAGTTTTTAAAAATATTTGTTAACTAACATACATATATAACGCAAGTATCTTTAGAAATTAAAAAAAAATGTAAAGAATAAAGTCGAGTTGAAGGGTCAATATGAAATGCATATTTAGTTGAAGAAGCATCAATGTTCTATTCATATTACGTTGAGCCTCAAGTCCATACTAGACATCGAAAAATGCCATAAAACTTTGAGTCTCTTCGAGAACCCAAGTGTCGACATTTAAGGAATGCTTGCCATATTCAAACCGAAAGGTTAATCTCTTGGTCGAGGAAAATCACATGTGTTGATAGATAAAGAAAAGATTGCATCTCATACCTATATTTTGTTGAACTGTGATAAGATGATACCTTACACTAAGTGCTATAATTATCAAAAATTTCAATACCAAACTTCATTAATTATCAATTATTTTTATTAAAGAAAAAAATCTTATAACGAGTTTTTTCTTCCATAGATATTTCATGACCCAACTTTATCAAAGTAATCCCGACATATCAAAGAATGAGGTCGATGCTCGACTTGAAACTGATTTTGCATCATGGTCCCATTGATATATGAGTATCATAAATTTTGAATTTTTTTTGTTATTAAAATAGTATTATGAAATTTCATACTAATATTAAGTAATGGATATGGACTTTATAGGTAAGTAATGCATAACCCAACATAATAATCGATCATTACATTAAAGATCTTGCAAAAGGGTCGGTACGAACGGATAAGTCGTATCCGGATATATTATGAATGAGTGTAAGTTCCACACCGAAATTCATGGTTTGGATAGAACAACAACGTGTAATGGAGTGTGTATAAAAGGAGTTAGTTACAATATGGAAGAAAATGATTACTACGATAGGTTGATCGATATACTAAAACTTGAGTATTCTACCACCAATCAAGAAAATCGTATTATTCAAATGTGATTGATATGATATTACACCTTACGTTGGTACAAGAGTTCATGATTAATATAGACTAGTAGAAGTAAATAGTCATAAGATGTTAAATAGATTCGATCTTTTTATCCTATCAACACAAGCACATCAAGTATATTATGCAACATGTCTTACATTGAAGCACATCGAGCACAATCGGTTAGTCGTATGTAAAGTAAAACCCAAGCCGATGGTGAATGTGTCCGAATTGTCCGTTATGATCCAAATAATTATGAAACCGTTTCATGAAAATGAAATGAAAGGCTAACACAATGTCATCCAAGTTGATGACAATAAAGGTCGATCGTTGATCGATCCAACTAGAGCGTTAATAATTTAGAAGGGGGTAAAATTAATGAAGAGAATGATGTTGAATTTGAAATAGAAGTTGAAGAAGAGTTAGATGAAGACTGTAACAATGATGACCATGATAGTGATTAGCGATAAGGTTTAATTGTCCTACATAATTTACTTCAAATTATTAAGGTAACATATAAATATATGTGTGAGTATATGCTTTAATTTAATTATGAAATTATGTGTTCATCGTAAAATAAATATATTTCAGTTTGTTTATGTTAATATCAATGTTTTATATTCATGTAAATATTTTAATTAATTAATGTGATAATGTGTAGGTTATAATGTTTCGTGATAGGGGACGTTCCCGCATGTAGTAGCTCATGTCACATGGTCGGGATCGTGATTAAGACACCGATGATGGCGAGTGGTCATAGACGTGGGTGTAGTCCTGCTTCCGTTCCTAGTTGGATGCCCCCCCCCTCGACATGTTTGTATACAACTCTCATAGTGTCACCATGTCAAACCCATCAACTTTTGATGTGTCAAACCCATCAATTTAGTTGTTAAATTGGAATAGCTCAAATTTTTCTTCTAAACAATGAAATAAAAATTGCAAATTTATTTTAAACAGATTAAGTGACGAGTTTGTAACCATCGCTAAATCACACTTTAGCAACCATCCTAAACAACAATCGCTAAATCTGTCACCAATTCCGAATAATTTACGACGATTTTAGCAATGATTTTTAAAAATGATCGCTAAAATGTTCAAATTTAACGATGGATTTGACATCTATTTTTAAAAAAGATCGTCAATTTGTTAAAAATTAACAACGAGGTTTTTTTCAATTTTACCAATAGCTTTCATGTACCTAAATTAGTGACAACCTTAAAAAACCGTCTCTAATTAATTAACGACAAGCCTTTTGTGAACGGTTTCAAACTGTTGCTAAAATTATTTAGCAATGGTTTTTCAACAATTAGCAACAGTTTAACCATCACTAATTATCATTATTTTGGTAGTGATCACTAAATCGTGGTTGACATTTTAGTCGCAACTGCATCTACGATGGAAGCTGCGACTTAAAAACCATGCCACTAACAAACCCAGTCGCAGAAGGATGTTGAGAAAAAACATGTTGGTCCATAACTGAATCAAGGTTAAATTTGATGTAACCAGTTACCATACAAAGAAGAGACATCCTTGGCAATTGAGATGGTACAACTTTCTTTGAACCTCGATCTTCTAACTGCAAGCAATACATGGACACTATTTAACATCATAGAAAGAAGAAAGGTCCAGGAGGCAAACGCCGGGAGAAAGAAAATGGCCATGACTGAGACAACTACTGCGAGGTCCACCACAACCTTGAACGACCATTTAAAGAATTCACAATGGCAACATGCAACCATATACAACAATTTGAACACTAAAGAAACTGCTAGCTAAATCGAAGAAAAACCACTGTCTGCAACTCTCTCTCTCTCCCCTGAAATATCCTTCATCCAATATATAGCAGCTGGTATGGGATGATGGCGCAGAGAAAGCTGTCATTTTGAATTAGTATCACAGCTCCTGAAAATTGATAGTGCTCAAGTGCATAATTCGAGATACTTGATAAGTAGCGTGAAGGAACTTTTAGCACATCATGCAATCTCTACACCCGAGTTTATCAAGAAAACTCAGCCAGCTCACTCCACCACAGTAGATCTTTGCAAAACTGTGTCACTCTCATGCGACTGCCTGGTCAAATCAAAATTGTTGGGAGCATCGAGCTGTGCTTTGGTGATATGAAAAGAAATTCAATTTTTCAGATCAGACAAACTGACCTTAACCTGAATTCATGTCTATATGAAATCGGTGCATTGCTTATTCTCAGAACATATCAACATATTGGCACCAGGAACCACAAGTGCTTCATGACCATAACCATCACTCAGAGATCCAAACTCTGTTTCATCATCATCACTATCAATATTTTTTGGAGTTATGCGGTTCTGATAACTTCTGCGCCACACAAGATATTCATTGAAGTAATAGCTAACTAATTCTTCCCTGGTCTTTCTAGGAAAATACTTGCGCTTGTTGTCCCAGAAGCACTTGCCTGCAGATAAAGGGTTAAACTTGACCATATCCTTAAATCTCTTTTCTTCTTCAGTAGTCCATCTAAGTGAAACTTCCTCGCCCATGCGATCAAACCGCCAATGATAGAACAAGGGACCCAGTTCAAGCTTCAATTTCATTCTTTTCTCGGCAATATGAAATCTAACACATCCAACTGAACCTGGCAGCTGACAGTCACATACACTGGACCTTCCCTTTCCAATAGGATCCATTGCAACCAAGGCATTATGGTTTTCACATTCCAAAGGCCATAATCGTGTGCCCAGCCATTTAGAGTCACCATTGGAAACCACACCAGTCCACTCAGGGACTTCAGCTTGGAAAAGAGGACCCACAGCAACATGCCTACGGACATGCTCATCCCCAGATCCACTGAGGGTTGTGTTTTTGGATGATAAATCAAAAAGTTCTTGCTCCTTAAGGCCATCTTTACACACTGTCTTCAGAGGACTTGTAGATTTACTTTGAGAGGCAGAACATGAATTACAACAAGAGTATGAATGAGGCTTCACTAGAGCAGGAAGCCGCTTGCCGCATCTTGAACTCTCTGCAGATTGTTCACTTAGAACACTAACATCCTCAAACAGGGATGGATGCATCTTTTGATTGTTATGGAAGTTCATATTGTATACCTATATGACAACAAGCAAACTCATGTAACTACAAGACAAACTTCCGAAAGGAATTTTTCAATCAACCACGAAAAGCACAACAGACTCTTCACAGTTATTGCCCCGACAAAGCAGATTGTCGAGATAGTTTAAAACAAAATACATTGCATTTTGGATCATTGAACTATGATAACAGTTCAAGGAGACAGACACTTCAAATAACTGCACTTGACCACTAGTTGGCCAATTTTGTTTGTCTATGAATATGTGTGTGTCCAAATCAACGCAATCAGAACTTCTTGTGTAATCATTTGTTAGTATTACCAGCATCTATCTTAACTTTGTCAAAGTCATGTTTATATTATCTGTTAAAAGTCCAAATGCATAAAAATAAAATGATCGTCATTGACTGATCAAGTGATTTTGCCCAATATCAACAACCAAGAACAGATATGGCTTCAGATTTGAATTGGGGAATTTACTTTTATGCATTTAACTGGGATAATGGTCATCATGATGGCCACTTAAATCATGATATCTAATGTTGTTGAGAGGTCAGGTGGTAGTTAAGAGGATGGGCCTAAGCTTTTGGATCCTGCAAGACAAGGGTCCCTTCCTTGGAGGGACTTTCCGATGCTTGGGCCCATCCAGCTACCATGTGACCTTTACACAACAACATTGGGTCTATGATGATGCCAATATCCCACATCAACTAGGAATTGAAGGTGTAAGTCGCTTATAATTAGGTGCAATCTCTGCCCCTAAGAGGCTTCCATTATGAACGAAAGTTGCCAAACCTCCAGGCCAAGCACGAGATCTAAGATGGGACAAGACCTATTGGGGAGCCAACAATGTAGCCAATTTAAGCCAACATCATCAATATTAATTAAAACAATTTCCATTCTAGTTATGTCCTCAATTTGCAGTTTTCTTTTTCCAAAAGATGCATTCATTTGTTAAAAACAAAACAAAAGAAAAAAAAAAAAGAAAACAAATTTTTTATCAAGAAAATTAAAAGTATGTCCACCTTATAACTATTTCACAGAAAAATGCAAGAATAATCTATGGTATGCATCTAAATGTTTTGCATTTAAGATAATTTAAATATAAATCTTTGCATGTTATTTTCATTTTTACTCAGCTAAAAACTTATAAATGAAATGAAAAACTACTAATTAACTCTTATAAAAGTTATTAGATATTATAGAAAAAGTTAAATATACAATATCAACTATATATATAAAAACAATGTTGGAATTTTGTATTAGTTAAAGCGTGCATATAAGTGGAGGAAATTGTATGTTTTTAATTTTAGTTGGAAAACACTTGTTTTCCATTTAGAAAATAGCCAGTAATTTATACAGGAAAACTATGAAAAATTCATCAAATGTGTTTTTCAAAGTCGGTACAAATTTGACAGATTAAGAGATATAGCATTTGAATAGGAATACTATTCTTTCTTCTTCATGGAATTTTTATTTTTAGATTAAAAAAAAAAAAAAAAAGAAGCAAATGCTAGTTTTAACAACTAACAATAGTGCATTTTGAAATTAGCAATTGGCTGATAATTCATTCCAAAATCAAAAACCTTGGGTGAAGATTTAAGTGAGACTGAATATGGTATTTGTATTTAAAACAATGGAAAAATAGAACAACATGTAAAAGTATAGAATGAACCTGCAAGAGTGATTGTTCGATGTTAGTATCAACATGCCTTCTTTGTAGGAGAGCTTCCCGTGCCCTTGTGGCTTGCAGCCACAACTCATTGCCTCTATGATCCTTCCACTTAGATTGGGGTGATATTATTCCAATTGAAGGATCATCAGGACATTTTGCAATTTGGATCACCCAGTTAAGCATTCTTGTTAGGGATTCTCGTTTTCTCTTGCGGGAATTGAATTCTTTTTTAGCAATGCTTGAATCCAAGATCACAACATCATCATCACTATCATTACGATAATTCTTTTTCTCAGCATGAAATTTTTTTCTTTATCACTATTCCTATTTCCAACACCATTGTGTACTCGATGAACATTTTTGGTGTCTAACAAACCTATTTTACTCTCCCCAATATCCATCTCAATGTACCTACCATTTTGCTTATATTCTTGTGAAGCAAATTGACCATCCTCTTGCTTTCTATCACATCTAAGTGATAACAAACTTCTAAACTGCCTCTCTAGCTCCAATGACAAAAAACTCAAATTCCCATCACTTCGACTCTTTTTCTTTCTTAATTTTTCATCTCTGCAACCCCAACTCATGCATTTTTCCAACTCATACAAGTACTTGATATATATCAGTTTAACTGAAGGTGAAAATCGAAGATCCAATCCTAATTCTTTAGCCACAAAGCTCCAGAAACCGTTCACCAAATCAAAGCCACCTCTCTTTCTCACAATCCAAAAGAGTTTGAACAAATCTAACGATTGCCCATCACCGAGCAATGCTGGAATAGGCCTAATACACCCTCCATCAGCAGCCTCATTCAAAAAATTTGAAACGACTTCATCAAACAAGCATATTACTTTATCCTCGCACTCATAATCATCGTCGTCAGAATCATCAACAACAATACACTCCTTAACCTCATCCTTCACATGATGATTAATACCTTGAAAACAACCACCATCACCCTTATAGCTGTTAATAACATCATCAGCACAATCTAAAGCAGAACCATTTGTTAAAATTGACCATCCTGCCATGAACCTCAAATTCTATAATATATTTTCTTTCTCTTCCTTTTTTTTTTTTTTTCCTTCCTTCTTTATTAAACCTCCTCGTAAATCACAATTCAACAAAAATAAAGAGCATCCATAGAAAAGACAGCAACAAAGTTCTGTTTTTTATTTGCTCTGTTTTCACGAGTTTGTGCCAGAGAACAAATCAAGAATTTGAGAGACATATCTGATAAGAGAACTAAAAGTAGACATAAATCTTGAACATGGTAAAATATTAGAGGACAAGAGCAGGTATGTTTTTCAAAATATTACCTCTTGTCTTGGTTTTGAATTGGATTTCCCTTCTGGGTTTTTCCTTTCAAAGCAGCCAAATATTTGCAACACAACAAAGTTCAAGAGAGGAGACAAGGGGCGCAGGAAGATCGAGGTTTTGAGAGTTTGAAAAAAAAAAATTGATAAATGGGTGCCAGCACACGCTAATACAATTGAAAAGTTTTGGACTTTGGGATCTAATTGAACGGACAGAGAATTTATGATTTTGCAGTAGATGACAATTCAGATTAGAATCAAGAAAGGAATGGTGATTAACAGAATAACAGCTAAAGGAAAAAATCTAAACTTGGAAATAACATTAAGGCTAAAAAAGTCTAATAATCCCTAAATTTTAAGTCATTTAAAATTAAATTTTTGAATTTTTTTATTGATTTTCAGGATTATTAAATTTTTAATTTTTTGATATTTGACCTATTTAATGATTTTCATCTAGCATCATTTTTTATAAAAAAAATTCAATTTTTAATATTTTAAACTGAAAATTTGCACACACGATAAAAAAATTCAATTCATTTTGTAGGAAAAATTCAGAACTTTTAAAATTGAAAACTCATTATTTATTTTTTTAATATTAAAAAATAAAAAATAATTTCGAAATGGTATCAATTTTTTTGAAAAGTCCCACGTAAATTTCACTAAATAATTTCTATTGTAAACTATTTTTTTGATTGTTATTTTTTTTATATGAACAATAAAAAACTGAAATATAGACTAAATATGAAAAAATTAAAAATTCAAGAATTTTAAAAATTAACTAACAAATTCAAGACTCAAACCAAATGGCTTAAAAGTTCAAAAATGGTTAAACCCTTTTAGCCTAAAATTAAAAGCAAAATCCATTAAAAAGATTTTTTTTTCTGCCACCTTTTTGTGAAATGGATATATAATAATTGTTTCTTAACACGAAAGATGAGCCGGTTACAAATTTAATAGAAAAATATCGTAATATTATATTGTCCATATATAGATGTATTTGTATTGTAATATTATCTTCTCTATATATGCGTACATACATACAAATATATACATATATATAGTAAGATTTTTTGTAATCTATATTTGAGTCAAAATTTAGATTGGTGAATAGGATTAATCAAATATAACTGCTATATTTCTTCAAAAAGCCAATAATGGCAGAACTCAAATTGAATAAGCCTTTTACTTATAATAGTTAAGACAAGTTTGTGATGAGTCAACAAATCCTGGTTGACCTTGACAATTGTAACCAGTTATTGGTTGAAAAAAAAGAGTAAAATTAATTTTATTGAAGATTTTTCCTAAAATTAAATTTTGAAAATCTTCTCTTGAATTGCATGGAACTAGTTGTTGGATTTTATAAATTACCAGTTGAGATTTTTAGGTGATTCAAGAATAATCGTTCAATAAGATTAATATTATTTACCAAAAAAAATTGTAACCAGTTATTAGTTGAAAAAAAAAGAGTAAAATTAATTTTATTGAAGATTTTTCCTAAAATTAAATTATGAAAATCTTCTCTTGACTTGCATGGAACTAGTTGTTGGATTTTATAAATTACCAGTTGAGATTTTTAGGATAGTGATTCAAAAATAATCGTTCAATAAGATTAGTATTGTTTACCAAAAATCTCTCACAAAATATACTTTAAAAAATTTCAACTATTGTATTTGTGACCCGTCAATACCAATGGAAATTGTTCATCAATAAATGAAATGTTCGGCAAAGTAGATTTAGAACTACAAATACAAGAAATTAAGGGTTTCATTTGATAGTTTTATTTTAACCCATTGAAAAAATTAAGTGAATTTTGATTTATTTTCCTAATTCGTTGAGTTGATTCAGAAAATCTCAAAAAAATCCTTTTAAATAATCTTGATGATTGAACTAAACTTTTTTATTTTATGATTCGGTATAATCTTAAACCAGACTTAAATGTATTAGAAAATGTATTGAAGCATTGTGTTGAATCTAATTTAAAAAAAAAAATGTCCCACTAGAACTAAGGAATGCAAATTTATTATAAAAGAAGTGTTAACAACGGTAGAATTGAATAGAAAGATAATAAAAAATGAATTTATTATAAAATAAAGTGAATACAAAAGATAACAACTTCAAATAATTCTCAAATCTCTATAAAACACTTCTACTTAAACTAATAAACAATCAAACCTATTTATAAAATTCAAGATTAGAAAGGAAATTGGAAAGGACTATGAACCATTAAAAGATGCATAAATAATTGAACCAATTGCATCACTTTTTTTAATTTCTCATATTGAATGGTGAATCGAAGCATATGAGTAGTGAAAATATGAAATGAACATTCATTATTTCATAACACTCCTCCTTGAATGTCCATCATACAAGGAACAAGCCTTGTTAAAATCTTCCTAGGAAAAACTCGGTGGAAAAAAAATCATAATGAAGAAAAAAGAGTACAATATTTCTCATATAAATTAATCTCTATGTTGAGCTCCTCTTATTGAAAACATCATTTAAGATCTTTAAAACGACACATCTCGGTCTTGTGAATCATTTTCTCAAAAGTTGTGTAGATGATGCCTTAGTGAATAAGTCCGTTGGATTATCACTTTGATGTATTTTTCTTTTAATTGAATTATGCAAACAACATTGTCTTCATGTAATATTGTTGGAATTTCTTTTCAGCTAGATAAACCATATGTCTTTCGAATGTAATGGGTCATTGATCTTATCTAAACACATTCTTAACTTGCCTTATGAATTGATATTTCTACATAATTTGAATATATAGCAACTATAGTTTGCTATGTAGAACGTCATAATATAGTTGTATCATCATATGTAAATACATAATTTGTTTGTGTTCGAGCTTTGTATCCATCGGATGAATAACTTGCACATAACCAAATAAACTTGACTTTGATTTATTTGAGTAAAATAAATACCATATCAATTTTTTCTCGAAGATAATATAGAAAATGTTTAATTCCATTCCAATATCTTTGTATTAGAGTAGAACTATGTCTTACTAATAAATTTATCGAAAAAACTATATCAAGTTAAGTATGATTAGTAAGATATATTAATGTACCAACTCGTATTAAAATATGATACTTCAAAATCAAATAGTTCTTCATTATCTTCTCGAGGTCGAAAATGACTTTTTTGGATATCAAGTGAACGAACTATCATTGGACTAGTCAATTGATGAGCTTTATATAGATTCATTATAGACTTTTATATATATATATTGATTGATGAATAAAAATCTCATTCTCTAAATGCTCGAGCCAAGGCAAAAGTTTGTTTTCTCAAGGTATTTCATAACAAATTTATAGAAAAAAATATATCAAGTCAAGTATTATTAGTAAGATATATAAATGCACCAACGTTATTAAAATATGATACTTCAAAATCAAATAGTTCTTCGTTATCTTCTCGAGGTCGAAAATGACCTTTGTGGATATCAAATGAACGAACTATCATTGGACTAGTCAATTGATGAGCTTTATATACATTCATTATAGAATTTTTTTTATTTATATTGATTGATGAATAAAAATCTCATTCTCTAAATGCTCGAAGCCAAGGCAAAAGTTTGTTTTCTCAAGGTATTTCATAACAAATTATAGAAAAAATTATATCAAGTCAAGTATTATTAGTAAGTTATATAAATGCACCAATGTTACTAAAAAATGATACTTCAAAATCAAATAGTTTTTCCTTATCTTCCCGAGGTCGAAAATGATCTTTGTCGATATCAAGTGAACAAACTATCATTGGACTAGTCAATTGATGAGGTTTATATATAATCATTATAGAAATTTTTTATATAAATTAATTGATGAATAAAAATCTCATTCTCTAAATGCTCGAAGCTATGAGCCGAGATAAAAGTTTGTTTTCTCAAGGTATTCCATATCAAATTTCTTTATAGATAACTTATGGCACTTGAAATCTCTTTAGGATTTCCAATAATATTTAAATCATCAATGTATATAGTAATTATTACAAACGTCTTTTCAAAATTTTCTATAAAAATACATAAATAAATATGGTTATTTTTATAATCTTCTTTTAATAAATATTCATTCAAGCAATTATACTACATCCATCCAGATTAATAATAAAGATTAGATATTGAAAAATAAAATATAAAAAGTATATCATAAATCAAATTTCTAAAAAATAAAATAATAAAACAAATACTAAAATAATTCTTATAGAGATCTCTAAAATTTAATTGAATATATTTTCTGAAAATGTATATTATATGCTTTAGATATCTTAAGTCCTTCTAGAACTTTCATATAGATATCATTTTCAAGTGAACAAATAAGTCGTAATCGCATTCATTAAACGCATGCATGTGAAGTTTTTCATATATTTTGCTAGGCTAAAGAGATAATAAAATGTAATTACAAGAGAATATATCTCATCATAGTCAATGTTAAGTCTTTACAAAAACTCTCATGTTACAAGTCTTACTTTGTATCTCATAATCTCATTTTCTTATTTTGTTTTTGCATAAATACCCATTTGTATCCCATCGACTTACGAACTTCGGGTGTTTTGACTACGAGTTCAAAAACTACTTATTTGTAAGAGAATATAATTTTTCCTGGATCGCTCTTTTCATTTAGGCTCCGTTTGTTTGACGAAAAACAATTTCCATAGGAAAATCAATTTCGAAGAATTTATATTTTTAAGAGATTGTTTTCCACAAAAAA